TCACAGTGGTGACGGGTGCTGACTGACCGAGGATGTTTCACAGCAGTGACGGGTGCTGACTGACCAAGGATGTTTCACAGCAGTGACGGGTGCCAACTGACCAACTGACCGAGGATGTTTCACAGTGGTGATGAGTGCTGACTGACTGAGGGTATTTCACAGTGGTGACGAGTGCTGACTGACCGAGGATGTTTCACAGCGGTGACGGGCACTGACTGACCAAGGATGTTTCACAGCAGTGACGGGTGCTGACTGACCAACTGACCGAGGATGTTTCACAGCGGTGAACGTCCTGAAGACAGAAATGGAAATTCCCTCAGAACATCTCCGTTGTCTGGGCTCTCCCATCTTCACGGTAACACTCCAGGATGGTCTGTAGTCAAGAGCGGGCGGGTTGCCATGGTTCAGGTCTGCAGTCACTCCCTGAGCTGGAAAAGCCCCTGCGGATTCTGGAGGTCACACCTGCTCAAGCCCGTTCCTCCACTCTGACAGTGGTGACCCTGGGAGGTGGCCCTGGGAGTCAGATTCTCAAGGGCAGAGTCAGGGTGAGAAGCTCCGAACTTTGAGGGAGAATCTGTGCCTGCTCTTCTCTGCAGGGCTGAGCACACCCCGGGGCCTAACGAGAAACTCCCTTGACAGGTGAATGACGAAGGAGGAATCACAAACCAGCTAATGGCTGTGTGCTGTGTGAGCCTTTTCCAAACTCTAGACCTGGTCTGCTGTTGACGGCCACTTCCAAGCTTCTGTGGCCCTGCCTCTGCGAGTAACCACACGTACGCTGTTTCACGTCTGCAGGATCGTATCCGAAGAATAAATTCACAGGAATAGAATTGTTCACATGCATTTGCCATCTGATGGATGTGGCCACTTTTCTGTTCTTGGGAAGAGACGGGCTTTACGCAGCCTTCACAGCGCACGAGACACTGACTGCCCACACCCTGGTCCTGGGCAGGGCTTTGTGAGCAGGTTGAGCATTTTTTTCATGTAAAGTGCCTTATGTTTTGTTTTCTGTGAACTCAGTTGAAATCCTTTGCTTCTTTTTACTTATTGACTTACTGGTCTCTTTCTTATTGATTTAAATATTTGGAAATGACTTTCTGGTATTAATTGCAAATTTATTTTTCAGCTTGTTATTCTCTTTTGATTGGCTCGTGGTGGTGTTTCGTTCTAGGCAGAAGTTTTTTATTTTTGTGTCATCATGTTTCTTAGCATTATTATGGCTTCTGGGTTTCGTCTTGTGTTTAGATCTTCCATACTCCAATGTCATAAAAAATTCTCCCATGGTCTCCTCTTTGCTTCTTTTCTTCTTCTTTTTTTTCTCTTTCTGGCAGTTACACCTTTGCTCTATTTGGAATTAATTTTGGTGTAGAACCAACTTTATGGTTTTTCCAGGAGACTACCTACTCAATGTCATTATATGAATATCCTGTTTCCCCTCATGATTTAAATGTCTTTATCATATAATTTGCAGTATTTTGAAGTCTATTTCTACACTTTCTAATTATTTATTTGCCAGTAACATTTTTAAGTGGACATAGTTTTAAATGGAATTTTATAACATGTTTTCATATCTGATCATAATAGTTTTCTCTATTATTTGCTTTTTCTTTTAGGTTTGTCTTATCTATTCTTAAATATTTCCTTACACACACTTAGATTTAGCCTGTCTGATTTTTTAAAGGTTAGCCTTTTAACTGGGATCCTATCATATGTGCAGAGACCAACTTTGCAAACTGAAGCCTGTACACCTGCCTGGCTTCCACCCCATCTGTGCGCGCCGCTCCGAGGCAGGGCCGATTTCCTGGTGTAGATCTTTCACATTTTTGCTAACCTTGTTGAATTACATTTTTGCACATTTTTTTCAATTGCCCCATCAGGGTTATCCAGATGTACAATAAAATAATCTGTAAGTAATCATCGCTTTCTCTGCTCCTTTCTCATTTCTGCACTTCCAGTTTCTTTGCCTTAATTGCACGGGATGTGCCTGCAAAGCAGTGAGAGAAGGCAGCCTGGAAACTCTGAGTGTCTTGTCTCCCTCACGGCTATGGCGCACGGTCAGGATGAGGCAGAGGTCATTTATCAGGTAAAAGAACTATTCACCACTTCCTGTTTTATCAGGAACATTTCAGTCTCTACTTCAAAACACAGAGGAGGAGGTTGACTTCCATCCACTGTTTGCCAGCATGTCTAGGGCTGGTCATACTACTTTTCTCTTTTGCTCTATTAAATGGTGATTGATATTAATAGACCCAACACTGAGCCACTGCTCCTTGCCCTGGGCAGCACAGCCCACACTGAGCCGTGGTGTGTGATTCTCAGCGTGCTGCTGGGCTTCGTTTGCTCTGTTTCACTGGGCTCTTTGCTTTGCTATTGACACTTTAGGTTGGTTGGTAGTTTTGGGTTTTTTTGTTTTTTTGTTTTTTTTAACTGGTCTCTGGTGGCAATGTCATGCTGGCTTCAGAAAAAATGTGGAAGCTTTCCTTCTATTTTCGTTTGGGGCAGTTTAAATCCTGTTGGAATAGATGGGAAATGGCACAACTGAACATTAACATTTTCCGTTCTTTATCCAAGTAACCTTGAAATGGGTCTTTTAATGTGTCTCTGTCAGAACTTAAAATATAAATCAGACATTACAAAGAAAGTTCAATCTTATTTCAGTTGAGATAATGAAGTCTAAGAGCTGGAGTTTGGTGAAAGCCCAAGGTAGAGTTGTCCTTAAATCCGTTTGGTGCCAACACACATTTGTCGGTTAATTCAAAGGTTGTTTGAAGGCCAGATTTTAATCTGACTTAGGCAACACTCTTGATGCTTACAAGCTGCCATGGTGAATGATACAGAAGACTCCAATTCAGGGAGGGACAAATCCCTGTTTTTAAGGAGCGTAACGTCCTATAGAGCAAGGAGTCTCATGGGCCTGACCTTGCCCCGGACAGACCTGCGGTGACCACACAGTGGGTCTTGGAAGAGTTGGCGGGAGCTGGACTTTTGAAAGGGTAGAATCGAGGCCAAGAGGGGTCATCCAGCCTGGGAGGACCCAGGAAGGGAAGGTCAGTAGGGAGGGGTCACCAGTGCTCACTGCGATGGAGGGATGCTGTTGAGCTCAGGAAGGCTGAGCTCCCAAAATGGCCAGTGAGACCCTCCAGAGCCTCCCCGGACGGAGGACCCGTCCCTTCCGGTGAGACCCGGGCTCCCGACGGAAGACAGGTCACTTTTACAAGGAAACTTTTAAAACAGATTTTGCAAAATTCTGGGGGCCACGAGTGATGATACCTGGGCCCAGGGCCTTCTCCATTCCAGGCAGAGCCATGATGGGCTGACTCCAACCAAGTGGTGGCTTCTCTGTGTCCAGATGGGATCTTTCAGGGGCACTGACTTCCCAGGGCGTTTGTGGGATGTGGGCGTTCTGTGTCACCCCACTTATGCTCAGCATCCAGTGACAAGAAGGCCCCAGAGAGCCCGGGGCAGAGCTCGGCCTCCGTGTCTGACGTCAGCTGTGCGGCAGGCCGGGCGACTCAATCATCTCAGCCAACGGCAGGCAGCCCAGGGCCTCCCTTCCTGGGAGCGAGGACGCTGGTGTGCTGTGCCCCTTGTGATAAAATGCCGTGGTTCCTGTGGACACAGAGCTCCCTCACCTGTGCTGTCTGAGACCCCGCGTGGCCTCCACATGCCATGAATGTGCAGTCCGCATGCCCTGAGGCCCAGCATTCTGGCACTCACGCCAGTCCTGTGCAGAGCAGGCCCACGCTGCTATTCTTAGTCCCAGGATTCCAAGCTCAGACGAGAGTGAGGAGGGCTCCCCACAGACATTTGCTACCAGACTGTGAGACGCTGGCAGAAATAGAATGTAGACTTTGTGACGCTCAATCCCAGGTCTCGCTAAAGAAAACGCAGGCTCAGTTTGGCATTAGTGTGTGCCTCGGTCTCTCCATCTCACGCGAGTGACGTATCAGCACTTGGCTGATGTCCTTAGCAGGGAGGAGGTGGTTCGCCTCTTTTGGAGACTGCCATGAACTGGCTACTGCAGCTTCCATTATCAGCTCCTCCACTCAAGCTAAAAACTCAGGAACTCCCTCGGGGGGGTGGGATCCGCAGCTCCCACCCCTCCACGATTGCAATGTGCTGTAGGTCCCTTCCAGAGCAACTGAGCAGAGCGTCTTCCTGATACTGTGGTCCATGGACGGCCCTGCTAACCGCTAACTGCAGCCCATGTGTCCTCAGCACACCAGGTCTCCAAAGCGGCATAGGGGAGCAGATGTCCACTGCCGTGGGGCGGCTTCTGGACAGCTGCTGCCCCGGACTGGGAGGCTGAGAATCCTCAGCCTTAGATTCCAGCCTGCAGTTTGGGAAAGGCACTGGAGCCAGGTGAACAAGAACAAGCCTCCACCCAGCTCTCAGACTGGTCAGCCATATTCCCAGCTCTACCTGCTCTGAACTGTGGGGAGAAGGGCCAGAATGGAGGTGGGTGAGTGCTGAGGGAAAGGAGGTGGGAGAGAGGTGAGAAAGGAAAATGGAGAAGGGGAGCCTGGCCTCCCAGCTGCAGAAACCCCGGCTCCAGTCTGCCCCCCAACAGCCTGCTCCCCCAGCCCCAGACCATCCCTCAGCCTTCTGACCCCCCAGGTCCTTAGACCACGTCCCAGCCTGCTGACCCCCCAGCCCCCAGCCCCCAGATCATTCCCCAGCCTGCTCCCCCAGCCCCAGAGCACCGCCCAGCCTGCTGACCCTGAGCCCCCAGCCCATCCCCTAGCCTGCTGACCCCCCAGCCCCAGACCACCCCCTAGCCTGCACCCCCCAGCCCCTAGCCCATCCCCCAGCCCATCCCCCAACCGGCTGACCCCCCAGCTCCAAGCCTATTCCCCCAGCCTGCTGACCTCCCAGCCTCAGCCCACCACCCCCAGCCTGCTCCTCAGCCCCCAGCCCACCCCCGAAGCCTGCTGATGCCCCAGCCCCCCCCCACCCAGCCCCATTCCAGAGCACAGATAAAAGTGAAACCTGAGCGGCAAATGTTTGTGGAGCCGCCGCCAATCAAGGGCTTCGTTGCCAGGGTAACCGGGACACTTCATCAGCTCTGAGAACAGATGGTCAGTGAGTAACAGGCAGCATATGTTCCCGTAAGCCCTGACACGGGCACAGATGGAGGGTGGGCGGGAGGCTCTCCTCCCTTCCCATGGGTGCGGCATTGCCGAGAGGCACAGAGGCCAGGGGAGCCCGCGTGGTGCTGGTGAGTGCAGATTACTAACACGCCAGGGCCGCTCCCAGCCTGGCTTAACCAGAGCGCTGCACTGTTAACAACACCGGGCACACAGGGCCGCGCGCTGAGCTGAATCGCATCCAGGAATCCTCACTAGCAGCCTGCCCACCTTCCAGTGTCACTGTCTCAGGCCTCTGGTTTCTGTGGATGTTTGCAGGAGAAATCAAACTGCCCTTTACAGGACCAAAGGAGAATCTGATGTCTTCCGGGCATGGAGGTGGGGGTCCCAGAGGGTGCGGCCTCAAAGCCTATCAAAGTCAATATACACAGGTTCGCGTGCGCTGGCCACTGGCTGGTGTGACAAATGATTCGTCTCTCAGACCTTGTATTCCCTGTATTTGATTTGGCCCCCCCAAAATGAGGTCCCCAGTCTCTCCACTGTCACCAACATGAGGATAGCTCAGGGAGCAAGGATCTTGGTGATTTCATCGTCGATTGCCAGCATGATTAAAGCAACTGCCTTTCACCAAACATCTACTATACCCAGACCCTCGATACACCTCTGGGATCCCATCTCTGCTGGCCAGCAAGGGTGGAGGAGGTGTCTAGCCTGGCTCTGAGTTCTACGCCCAGCTGGGCTCCAGGGAGGCGGTCTTGTGGTCACAGGCCACAGGGCAGGCCTGGCTGTGTCTGCACTGGGGCTATGCTGTGGCCAGGAGAAGCCAGGCACCCTTTCTCCCGTGGACAGTCCTGCCAGCTTCAGAGAAGCCCTGGGCTCCTTTCTCCAGTGTCTGCTGGTCCTGGTGCAGCTCTGTCCGGAGTGGGCACAGCTTCCCAGCTCCCATTATGTCTCTGGTCTCTAATCTCAGGCCTGTCTGTGCTCTACACGAGTCTGCCTGGTTCACCAGGCCCCACAAATTCACTGCTCACCGGTACCCAATACAAGCACAGCTCTGACCCTCTGGGGTCCTGTAACAATCTTCAGTTGGATCCTATCCCATCCCAGGAATCTCCACAGCAGATTTCTGCTTGGGCTGGATGTGTTCCAGTCCTGAGCAGGGCTCTGCCCTATGGAGAGGCCTTCGATATTCCGCCTCTAGGTCAAATGTGGTGGAAATCCATCTGCAAGCTCAGAAGTTATCAGGAAGAAGCCAGCAGGGGCAGCCACTCGACAGTTCTCCTTTCCATAACAAATCAGGTTAAAATCTGCAGGAGCAGGCTTGATTGACTAGAGGGATCAATCCAGTACAGAAACAAATGCCCCGGCATGCTTTGCAGGGAGCCTGGACACAGAGACAACGTTTGCATGAATGAGACCTGCCAGGTCCACTGGTGCCAGTGAACAAACTACTTATGGCAGTGCCCAGTCAGACAAGCTGCCAGGAAAGCCAGGAATTTCCTTTCACCTGCTTTCTGCTTGACTTGGTTTACCAACACTATACATCCAAGAGAAAAAAAATTAATGTGCATTTTCTCTTCAGGGGCACTTGTGTGAAAAACATGTGTCTGCCTGTCATCATCCCTGGGTGAGCCCACGGCCACCAATCCCTGGGTCACAGCTCCCCAAAACCAAGAGAAACAGCTGGCGGGACAAAGCCAGGGCAGCCCTAAACATGCCACATCACCCCAGTGCTATGCGAAGGAAGCTTCAGGGGCATCTTCAAGGAAGTGTGTGAATCTGAGTAAATTTTACAGATTAAAACTTTTACAAATTGTATAAAATTTTAATCATTCCAATTCAGCATTTAGAAAAATACTTGTTTAGTGGGAAATTTATAGCTATAAACGCCTATCCACAAACAAAGAAATGCTTAAAATCAATGACCTGAAGTTCCACCTTAAAATGCTAGAAAGAGAAGAGCAAACATAACACAAAGTAAGTGTTAACAAAAACTAAAGAACAGAAATCAATGAAATAAAGAGCAGATGACAGAGAAATTTAGCAAAACCAAAGTTGGTTCTTTGAAGAGACTGGCAAACTTGATAAACTCCAATTTTATAGAATGATCTATAGAATGATCAAGAAGAGCGAAAGCACAAGCTAGCAAGGCCAGGAATGGAGGAGGGTCATCATAACAGACCCTACAGGCATCAGGAGAATCAGCAGCAGATGGTCATTGTCCTGTTAGGGCTCAGACTCAAGACAGCTTTTTGGACAGAAACCTGTGTATCAATTGTGATAGTTACATGGGTATTTCCATTTGTTAAAAATGCATAATTTTGTTGGATGTACATTATGCTTCAATGAACTTGATATCAACAGTAAAAAGATTTTCCTGCTTTCTTAAGCAGAGATAAGTTTTCATGTTCCTCTGCCATAAATTCAGACATTCATTACACTTTTCTCTAATTCCACACACTGTGAGGCCCTTGGGAGGTGAGTGCTGGTTGCTTCTGCCACAGTGAATGCCCATAGCAGGGAGCAGTTGGACCCATCCTCTCCCCAGGGTCAACCCACACTTTTCCTTGGTGCCAGCCCTCACCCTCCAAGCCTCTGGTATGTGGCTTCCACCAGCTGCAGCCTAGGAAGCCGTGACATCAACAGGGTTGGCTCTGGGGCTGCCCAGGCCTCTGAAGGAGATGGGTGTCCTTGTGCTGTCAGGATCAGGTGCTCTGAGAGGGCCTGGGAGTCACCTGTGCTTTCCCCAGGCAGTAGCCACACTTAGGAGGAACCGGAGGTTGTCAGATGAATGAGCAAGGTGCCCTTTGGGGCCCACTAGGCTCTGGGATCTCTCATGACCAGACACGCATTTTTGCCTTTGTTTAGGCAAATAGAGCCATACACATAATTATTTCAGTTGGGCCAAATCTGTAAAAGGAAAAAAGAAAGATTTGAAAACTCACTCAAAATGATGCATTTTGGGAACAGGAATTTTACAAAACCCAATCAAATATTTGTCGGATACCCACCATGTGAAGTCACTGTCCCAAGCCTTGTGGGGGACACGAAAATGAACAAAGCAATCCCCTGCCCTCAGGGTCTCACAACAGCCCAACCAAGGCTGTGTACCTCCCGTGCTGAGAGCTGGGCCTGAGCCTCGTGTCGGGGAGACCTGGAGATATTCCTGGGGAAAGGCGGCATCACGCTGAGGCCTTTGGTGGACAGAGAAAAAAACCTCAAGATATTTACCCAGCTTTCCACTCAATGTCCCAAAGTACTAAGGCTTCTTCAAGTTAGTTTTTCCTTCCTAAATCAGGCTCGTGTTGCTCGCAGTTTCTCCGCCCATGGAAAGCTCACCTCAGTAGATGCTCAGCTGTGCCAGGCATCTCTCGTCCTCCCGGGGTGGCTGGGGGCATTGACTTTTGCCCACCGTGAAACCTGCACTCTGCACACAGGGCCGGCTGTCCCGCGTGCCCGCTGCGGTCGGTTCCAAGCTGCAGGAGTGACGTCTGGAGTCTGGTTCTCGGGACCTGCCCATGTCTTCATCGCACAGATTCGCCTCAGGTGGAGGGAATGGAGGGGCTGCTGTGAGACCGTGAGTTTCTCCAGAGGACTTTGACGTCCTCCTGGTCCCCCAGGGTAAGCACTTCTTTCAGGCGCTGGTACAGCCAAATAGGGCAGTCAAGGTCACGGTGCTGAGTCACTGCGGCCTGCCCCATCCCCTGCAAAGTGCTGTCTGAAGCGAACCCCAGCCTTCCCTCATTGACGTGGTCCCAGGCACTGTCCCCCAAGCTGTGCTGCCTTCCTGGAGGCTCAACCTGGAACTTCCAGAGGTTTGAGGAACCTGACTAGGTTGCTATATGGGAATGCAGATGCTAAATTTAGCCCTGCCCATCTCAATCCCGAATTCCAAAGCAATGATTGACAAGTTTTGCCAGTAATTCATGACTCCAGAGCGTGTAGTCCAGGCATCCACGAATCCTCAGCCATGGGATGGAGGGTAGCAGTGACCAACGGCTGCATGGACAAAGTCGGGACATGGAGGGTGGTGGGGGAGGGGAAGCTGCGGGAAGACCTGCGGTACCCACAGGCCTCACCGATAGCTGGGGTGCCAGCTCTGCACGGCACTGGTCGCCATGGACTTCCAGTCCAGCCACCCTTGTGTGTGTTTCCTCGGACCTGAGCCTGCAAGGACAGAGCACACTCATCTCCTCCCTGCTGTAACCTGAGCTCCCCATCAGCTGAGGTCCAGGCCAGGACCAGCATGTCAGGCTGAGTAGCTAAGAAAGGAGAACCCAATTCCACACTCAGGGTCTGCAACCAGAACTAAGACAAGGAGAGTGTCTGCAGAGAGGCGCGTTGTTTACCTGCAGAGGGGCCACTCGTCCGGTCTCTGCAGCCACCTGTGATTTCTGGACCCTATTGGACAGTGTTTTTGCTATGGCTGCTGTGATACATAACTACATACCTCGTGGCTTAAAGCAACACACGTTTATTATCGTACAGTTCAGGAGGTCAGGAGTCCAAAGTGGGTCTCACTGGGCTAAAATGAAGGTGTCGGCAGGGCTGGCTCTTTCTGGAGTCTCCAGGGGAGAACTGTTCCCATCTTTTCCAGCTTCTAGAGGCAGCCAGCACTCCTTGGCTCATGGCTGCATCACTCCAACCTCTGTTTCTGTCTGGCCCTCCTGCCTCCCTGTTATGAGGACCCTTGAGGTGCACGCAGGGCCCACCTGGATAACTCAGGACCATCCGATCCGACAGCCTCAACTTAATCACACTTGCAGAGTCCCTTTGCAGACCCCAGTCTGGTGGGGACAGCAGCAGTCCCCACCACCTGCCCGTGTGCCCCACCAGCTGCCCCATGGGCCTGCCATGCTCTGAGCTGTGTGTAGCATTGAGGCAGGCAGAGCTTGGCAACCAGTGACAAAGACAATGGGGATGAGACCATGGACAGCAAGGAGCAAGGTACTGGGACCACACCCCAGTGCCTCTTCTCTTCCCTGGGCCAGGCCCTTGTCAGAGCCTTCCTGCTGTTCAGTGAGTGGGACAGGGAGGGAAGAAAGGCCTTCACCTGTCAACAGCAATCAGCCTCATGGGGCCTTGGAGGGCGAATTCCTCTGCAGTTTGCGAGTGTCTGAGAAGACTGAGTGCTGAGTGAGTGGAGAGCAGGCCTGGACATCCCACACAGCCAGCGCCTCCACACACCTGGCCCGAGCCACTGTGAATTATTTTATCCTGCCGTTGTCCCCTTGGCATGGCTAGAACCTTATTAATTGGCTCTCCATTGCTGCATATATATGCACATAGTTTACTACGGCACATGTATTCCCATTGCAATGCCTACTCCCAGATAAATATCACTTTCTGTTAGAGCGCCTGTCTCTGTTGTTTAGGTTTACGTAAGTGGTGTCTAGAGCAGAAGAAAGACCGTGATGGGAAGGAACTGGTGATTCTTACAGCTGGCGTGGAGTTCTCACCTGAGCCCTCTGAGCTCTCTGCGTCTGCCGCTTGCTTTTCTACCCTGGTGAGTCTTTGCTCAGGCCGAGTCTCGCTCTTTTTTGGTAGAGGCATTTTGATGTCATAGGAGTTTGTTTTGGTGATAAGGCCACCTTTAATCAAGGACCTTCCATCCCTGCTGAGATGATAAAAGACCTTGTGTCTTTTCCAGCAAGTCCTTTCTGGTATAAAGTGTCTGATTCCTGCAGAATCTCCATTCTGTCTCTGAGGCGTGTCTTTTTTAGTGAATTTGCTTTTGATCCTTTCTGTGCACCTAATTTGATATTTTGTTTGATGTGGCTCTTTTCTCTTGCTTGTTTCTGGAAATCTTCTAAGAGCAAAAATAAGCATTCTAAATGCTGGACACAGGATGGCTCACTAAAAGCCACTAGAGTGGTTGCCACTATCTAAAACACTGGTCCAGACTCCTGACATTCTCTTGAGAGGATTTATAGGATTTTTTTGCTCTCAAGAGATTAATAAGGAACGGAACGGGATTCTCAAACATGAAGATGTGCCAGGTATTCTGGGACTCCAGCTGTCTGTATTGTGGCCCATTCTCATGCACATTTTTAAACTGAAGGGGCAAATTACACCAAGGAAAATTCAGAGCTCAGTGGTCATTATCCGAACTTTCTAAAAGAAGATTCTACAACTATAGAGTTAGCATTGTAAGTCCTCTATTTTTTTTTCTGCTTATGTCCAATCTGCTGACCCTTCTGTTGGTATTGAGATAAAACTCACTGCTTATGATACTCCAGCCAAGGTTCTTTTAAAAAAGTCTTAAAGGGCTTTCAAATTACTGGCTTTACAAATTACAACAGCTCCATGGTAACCAACAACCTAGACACTTTTTGAAAATGTAAATTTAGATTTGCCTAACAGTTGCTTAGGGTGATGGAACAGTTAATTGAAGGACTGATAGTCTAAAAGGAAAGACCTAGATAAATGTTTATAAAAGTTAGGCTCTGAGATCAAACAGGTCAAAATCTGGAGCTCAGAGCAGTAATACAATTTTTTATATCTCTGGCATAAACATTGCTTTTTCTGTCATGCAGGAGCCAAGGGAAAAAAGCTCCCAAAACCTGCTAAAATGTTTCCCACCTGCATTGACCAGTCAGGGGCAAGGAAACCAGACTGCAGACAAAAGGCAGATGTTTTACTAATTCAAGGCTACTTGGACATTTTCTTTTTCCTTTTATAATTCAGCCAGTTCAAGGTAAAACATAAACATTAAAAATTTAACACTAAACTCATTTGAAACAAACAAAAATGTTTTTTAAAACCAAACTGCTTAACCCAACACTTTGCTGCACAGCCTTCATTAGACTATCTGCAGGGCAAAGAAAGTTTTCACCATGTGAACAGTTCCCATTTTGTCAGAAAGATAATTTGGATCCACCTATCATTTATGAACCAGTGAGTTCGTATATTTTACTGTCTCATGACTAAAATTCTACAATGAAAGCTATGAGAGCTTTGTGTATGTATATACCTCTAGGTGTGTTTCTGCATATGTGCATGTATTATGTTTTATGTTGTATCTACATGGTGAAATCTGGCAGAGTGGGCCAGAAGTCCCTAAGAAATTCCATTGAGATTTGCTGAAATGAGTGCTCATATAAAGTATACAGCTATTAACCTAAATGTCTTCTATTTCATGTGACCTAAGTAGATCTTTGATAAATAAGCTGGTTTAAAAATCATTGGTAAAATAAAACTGGAAGTATCTTCAAAATTGTGAGTATACATTTTTGCCTGGGTTTACTGGTGTGATAGTTTTATATTTGTCTCTGCTAGATGTTTTAAGGTGTTCAGGGTTTGACACAAAAGTTGTAAAACTATAAACTCAGCCTAAAACAGAGTGATCATCGTGCAATTCTTCGATAAATAAGACTAATTTAATATTGTGGTTTAATAAGAACAGCTGTGTCTTCAGAGTTATTGGCTAAATGCCCATATATTTAACTTTAAGGTTCTTACTTAGATGAATGCCTGATATTCACAGGCTATAAAAATGGTTAACAGGAAATAACTTGAAATGATGACAAGCTTTGTCTAGTATCTCAGTTTTCATAACTAATCTAGGCAAATTGTTAAAAATAAATTAGGTAAATGTAAATGGAATAAATGCTTATAAATAAGCTTTTCATGTAATTTGAAATCTTAACATTATGTTCAGTTAAACAACAGATACTCATTAAATGTCTAGATCATTTCTAAATAAGATTTAAAAGCCTGAAACATCAATTGCTAAACATAAATATAAATTTGTTCTTGTCTTCTTACATTTTATAGAAAGACTAAATGTATTTGGGTCTATTAATATATATAAAACACTATGTTATATGGAGAAACATATTTCTAAGAATTATAAAATGGCTCTCATCCATAAAATACCAATATGTGACAAACAGTTCAAAATTGCTTGCCAGAAATTAAGTTACTAAGAATTAAAATTCTAATATATATATATATATATATAATTCTGCATATAAAACATACAAAAAAGGAAATGTGTTTTTGATAAGAAAAATAAAAAAGGCATAAAATGGGTTCTTTATTGAGAAAAAAGAATAATTCTGTCTAATTCACAGGTTATTTAAAGGTTGTTTCCAAATATAGATTTAGGAAGGAAACAGAGGCAATACAGCAAGGAACCAGTAAATAGGAGAGAGAGATACGAGGAATGTTGTGGGTATGAAGATGCATTCTTGGTAAGGAAGGCTATTAAAAAGAAAAGAGAATAATTTTATATAAGAAAAAATCTTGAGTAGAAATTGTTGTCTTAAAACAGCTGGTTATTTAAGAAAGTGTAAATGGGGCACAAAGCAGAAATTCTAAGTATGTTGCCAAACGTCGCAATGAGTTGTGATGAGGTTTGTGAAGGATGAATTTATAAAAGGAATTAAGTTGGCTATAATTAGAAGGAAATTATTTATAAGTCTTTCTGAAGATTGAGCTTCAATATTAAAAATACACGAATACAAAACTAAAAACTTGGTACTCTATGTTAGAACAAGCTTTTCTTGAAATTTTGATCTCGTCTTAACAGCAGCTTTTCTCTTTTCTGTTTTGCAGTCTCCATTGAGTTTCCCTAGTTTCAGATTAGATCTGCTTTTTTCATTCAGAACAGTAGTTTCATTTCTCAAGGCAGCGTTTTCCTCTTGAAGCCTCTCAGGTTCATATCACAGAGGCTCTTCTGCTGGATCTCGCTGCACATAACTTGCCGGCCAGGCATCAGCACTCTGCTCTGAGGCCTGCGATGACAACTCTCTCCAACTTCATCAGCTCCTGTAACGTTTTTCTCCAGCTCTAATTCTGTTGTGAGGGCCTGAAGCAGAAATGTTTGCCTTGGAGACCTAGAAAAGCAATGCTTTCCCCCAGTATAACTTGATTCTGTACTCTTGGCTTTCTTGATGAGTCTGAATTGTTCCGTGCAACCAGGAAATCTCACATGCTGTCACTAAGAGCTGTGCACTCTGACTTGCTGAAGGTACTGGTTTTCTTACAATATGGGACACACTTATAAGTTTGGACACACTTTTTTTTTCTGTGTTTAATTAAATTCAAGTACCTTTCATCAGATTCAATTTCCAAGATACTTAGATGGGCTTCCCAGAAGGAAGAGCAATCACAGCGCAGGAGGGTTTCTTTACCTTCTTGGTAACTGGCCTAAAAAGCCCAAAGAATTTACCTTTTACCAAGACAGTTTCCTGTGTTGTCTTCATTAGGTTTTTGATTACTTAAGAAAACAGCTTGAAAAGGGTTAAGGTTTTAAAATCCATGTACTTTTCTGTATTGCTTGTGAAGTCTTTTGATTATTACTCTGATTAAATGACTGTATTCTGGTTAAATGAAGTTATTTCACTGTGACCTGTCATTCTGTTTTGGTCAAGTGTTTTGAACCTTTTTATATCCTTGGCAGGCTTCCCCAGGATTGAAATTCTAAATTCAGTCTTTTTGGCCTATAATTAACTTTGAAATTTTCTAGTTGGGCCCCTGGAGAGCCTCACAGAATGTTCTCTCTCATCTTGTAGAGATATTAAATAATAAGGCTTATTCGATAAATTATATGGAAAGCATTGTGAAATGATAAGTGATACTAGATCATTCAGTTACATTTATGTATGTTATGGATATGAATGTTTCAAAAATTATATAAATTCATAGAACTCCAATATGTCATCAGCCCTAATTCTGGATATTATGTTGTGTGCTATAAAAATAACTATGTCCTTGTTACTTGCTGATTATAATAAAATTCCATCAGAGCTTTAACCATGGCTATTCTAAGTTATTATTTTACATTCTCCCCTAAAAGCGTCTGCAGTCAGACTCATGGAAAAGATTTCAACAGGTGCTCTTACATATACATTTCTTATAACTTTAAGATCAATAGAATAAGTACCAATTTTTTTTTTTTTTTTTTTTTTTTTTTTTGAGACGGAGTCTCGCTCTGTCACCTGGGCTGGAGTGCAGTGGTCGGATCTCAGCTCACTGCAAGCTCCGCCTCCCGGGTTTACGCCATTCTCCTGCCTCAGCCTCCCGAGGAGCTGGGACTACAGGCACCCGCCACCTCGCCCGGCTAGTTTTTTGTATTTTTTAGTAGAGACGGGGTTTCACCGTGTTAGCCAGGATGGTCTCGATCTCCTGACCTCAAGATCCGCCCGCCTCGGCCTCCCAAAGTGCTGGGATTACAGGCTTGAGCCACCGCGCCCGGCCAATAAGTACGATTTTAAAAAAACTCTAATGAAGAAACTGGTGGGCTCATGAAACTGCTCATCAAGGTCAAGTAGAACAAAGATTAATCACTTGAGATTGATAATGTTTTTGTTATTTTTATTTAAAACATTATTAGTTCTTTACTTGTTTTGCTTTCCAGGTGTAAGGACATTTTCTCTCTTAAACTGTCTACAATTTACAGCAATTTGGTAAAGAATACTTTTGTGATGGAAGCATTTGGTTTTTTTTCTTCTTTCTTGATTTCTCCAAAATTTGAAAATCATTCATGAGCATTTTTATGGCAATAAAGTTATTGGCTAAGTTCAATAAAAATCGGCTCTCTCTTTACAACAGAATACCATTTAAAAATTGTTTCTTACTCAGACTTTGACTGGTGAATGTACACAGAATGCCTGGTTTCAAGGGTTCCCAGACATACAGTGAGTAGATAAAAATGGTCACTTCCTGGCAGGCGCAGGAACTTTAAGACTGTAAGTAAAATCTAAAGTCTGCTGTGGTTTGGCTTCCTAACCCCCAGAAGTTTTTAAATCTCAGATTCCTGTGCGACAAATGTAGGGATAAAATGTTTCTGAAGAAAAGCTATAATACACCTCTTATTAGATTGCAGCTCTGTGCATTGTTTTCAAGCTCTGGTTATCTACCTATAGACTAGACTTGAATTATCCTAACTCCTCCAATCCAACTTTCTTACATAGAGTTACTAAAATTGAATACTGCTCTCTTCCTGAAGCCCTTTAAGCTGAAACTATATAAATTTTAAGGAACAAGTTTCATGTCTGATGTTTGAGGAACACCCAACTTACCAAAACATCCACTGCCATAGCCAGAGACGTTCAAACTGCAAACCAGGCTGAGAACTGGATGGTTCCATGCTGTAGACAGCTTTTTCCGACGTTAGAACAGAACTCTGTATCATAATAAGACTTTTACCCCTCTTAATGCCCACCTATTTCACTTGACGGGATCATGGCCAATTGATTTATCCAGTTGGCTGCCTTTAAGCCTAGGTTCGTGGCTCAAAACGATTATGCAGACTAGGATAGTCACATTACTAATAATTTTACTTTGAATTTCCCCTTTTAAAACTTGGTATTTGTTACTTGTTAAATTTTTGTAGACGTGCAACTCCTAACAGAATAATGCTCGCCTAGCCCTTTCAGATGATAACAGAAGACTATGGAAAAAGACAAAATTGAACTTAATACTAGATTTTAGGTAGACTTAGCCTGACAGCCACTCCCTTCAAACCTCCCTTGTTGCTCAGATGTGGCTAAAGGGTTTTGACACTGATCCCTACCCACCCATCACAGCCCACAATGTGGGACCACACCAGCAACCCAGGGCAGGTCCATCTTGGCACCAGGGAGCATCAGACCTCATTGCAGCAGGATTGATCGGTGATACTTTTGGAGAGAGACCTTGATCAAAGTGGAAAATGTGGACGCGGTAAGAATCAAAATCAAAATGGGGTCGCTTCTGTTAACAAATGCTCTGACGTGCTTGCTTCGGCAGCACATAAACTAAAATTGGAATGATACAGAGAAGATTAGCATGGCCCCTGTGCAAGGATGACACGCAAATTCGCGAAGCGTTTCTTATTAAAAAAAAAAAAAATGCTCTGATAAATAGAGCTGGGACAGACCCTAAAGGGAGGGTGGTCATGCACCACTGCGCAAAAACAATTGCAAAAGACTGAAAAAATCATCACCCTGCACAAACGCTGTTGCAACCTTACACAAAAAACACTTCTACATCTGTCCAGCAAGTGCCTGTCCGGCACTGAACTGGAATCTCCCTCGTTATTCATCTTTGCAGCCAAGGATACTTATCTCAAAACAATCCTGCGTTCCTCCTCACTTTTCCCTTAAAAACCTTTGTCTTCTTTGACTTCCCTGAATGTGCACAGCATCTACTAGGGCACGTGTATTTTCATTGCAGTGTCCTATGTCCCAAATCAATGTCATTTTCTCTTAGAGCCTCTCTCTGTGTATT